TTTGAAGCTTTAATTGTTCAAAAAATCTTTACAAAAACTTTTACTTTTTAACCCTTCTCAACTTTTCTTTTCTACATAAACATTTCCACAAGAAAAGAATGAGGCTGGGGCTCCTCTACAACACAACCACATCATTTTAACTTCAAATATCTACGTCTTTTCTTGCCATCTCTTTCAGAACGGAGCTTTAAGCGCGAGAGGCTTGATCACAGTCAGTCAGTTATTTGAAGTAAATGTATTTAAGACTTTCTCCCAATTGAGAGTCAAATACGGAGTATAAGGGTCAGATAAAAAAAAACAAAAAAAACATGCTGGCGCTACGAGAATAAAGTCGTAACATTTTGACATTAAAGTCGTAATATTACAAGAATAAAGTCGTAATTTTACGAGAATAAAAGTTATAATATCACGAGAATGAAGTCGTAATAAAATCAAAGTCAAAGTGAAAAATGCGGCAGAAGAAGAACCTTGTTTTTCAATATAAAACCAAAACAATTTTCTTCATTATTTGCCGGAGTAAACTAAACCAGGACTAAACCAGGACTAAAACCAGGACTAAACCAGGACTAAACCAGGACTAAACCAGGACTGAACCAGGACCAGGACTAAACCAGGACTAAACCAGGACTAAACCAGGACTGAACCAGGACTAAACCAGGACTAAACCAGGACTAAACCACCAGGACTAAACCAGGACTAAAACCAGGACTAAACCAGGACTAAACCAGGACTGAACCAGGACTAAACCAGGACTAAACCAGGACTAAACCAGGACTAAACCAGGACTAAACGAGGTCCGAGACCAGACCGGGACTGAGTCAGGGACCAAGATTGAGACCGGGATCAGACAAGAACTGAGACCAGGATTGAGACCGGGAACAGGACCAGGACTGAAAACGGTTTAGTCCTGGTTCAGTCCTGGTTCAGTCCTGGTCCAGTCCGTATGCAGTGCAATATTCTTGTTCTATTTTCAAACTTTTTTCACAAATAAATGGTGTGGGACTTTAAATGAAACCCAACAGTGTGATGTGTGAGTGGTTTTGTTTGTTTGTTCGTTCACAGTGACTCTGGGCTTTGTTCAGTTGTGGCGTGTAGGGAGTAGTGTCTGGATTGTCGACGTGTTCGCAGTGACTCAGTTGTTCAGTCGTGTCTAGAAGCGACACAGTTCGTTCCTCCGTTCCGTTCCTCGCCGGCGTGGAGTGATGAGTGTGTGTGTGTGTTTCTCTGTGCGGTCGCTGTCTGCTCCGTGTGTGTTTGTGGCTTTGTAGTTTACTGAAGTCGTACTGGGACGCCTGAGTGGATTCGTGTATGGGGCGCTCTGGATTGTGGTGCACGGTCGTTTTTTTGATGGGGTTGGAGGTTTATGAGCGCGTCTAATAGCCCGGAAAATACAGTACTCAAACATGGTTGATCCGGTATTACAGTATCCCGCGCGGTATCAGAAAATAACAACACTATCAGTTTCATCACCCACCGTCATTAAAAAAAAAAATCTGTGGTGCATAAGGACCTCATATAAAATTATAATTTACTGAAACCTACATTTGTTTGCTCAGCACAAAAAAACATGTGGTTGTATTTTCAGTTTAATGTATCAATCATGATTTAAAACTAATCGTTTCTATAATGTTTCTTGTAACTGTGGGGAGACAACGTTCGATTAGTTTGGTTCCGTTGTCACGTGACGCTCATAAGAGACAAGACGACAAGTCTTTGGTGCTGTCTGGGACCAACGGATTGTCGGCGTGTTCGCAGTGACTCAGTTGTTCAGTCGTGTCTAGAAGCGGCACGTTGCGCTCGTGGCTTTTTCGGTTCGTTCCTCCGTTCCGTTCCTCGTCGGCGTGGAGTGATGAGTGTGTGTGTGTGTGTTTCTCTGTGCGGTCGCTGTCTGCTCCGTGTGTGTTTGTGGCTTTGTAGTTTACTGAAGTCGTACTGGGACGCCTGAGTGGATTCGTGTATGGGGCGCTCTGGATTGTGGTGCGCGGTCGTTTTTTGATGCGGTTGGAGGTTTAAGAGTGCGACCTATGGTGTTTAAAATACGGCACTGACAAAGTTATGCCCGTAAAAAAAGGCATTATGAACGGAAGTCAATGGGACAAAAATGTACCAAAGCAGCGCGGGTGTGAGTATTTTGATCACAGACTGTTCAATGAATGTGATCGTGAAAGAAAACACAGAAATTAAACACACAAAAAAACACAAACTGGCCTATTTTGGTGCTGTTTGGTGCAATATCGTCAAAGTTACGTAGAAAAGAAAAGTTGAGAAGGGCTAAAAATGATCTTTAAGAGTAAAAAGTCAAAGGTTTTGTAGAGATTTTTAGAACAATTAAAGCTTCAAATGTGGTAATTTTGAATCATTATTATTATAATCAGTGTTGAGGAGTAACAGATTACATGTAATCAGAGTACAAATGATGAGTAACTGTATTCAGTTACAGTTACTGTTTCAGTGAGTGGTAATTGGATTACAGTTACTTTGTTGAAATGGATGGATTAAACAGAGGGATTTAACTGTTTTCACATTTTGGGTTAAATCCCTTTTATATTTATATATCCCCCTTTTTTTTTTCTTTTTTTTTAACGGTAATTTCACTCATTGCCAGAAACTAAACCAGGTCTAAACTAGATCTAAAACCAGGACTAAAACCAAGACTAAAACCAGGTCTAAACTAGATCTAAACCAGGACTAAAACCAAGACTAAAACCAGGTCTAAACTAGATCTAAAGCAGGACTAAAACCAAGACTAAAACCAGGTCTAAACTGGATCTAAACCAGGACTAAAACCAAGACTAAAACCAGGTCTAAACTAGATCTAAACCAGGACTAAAACCAAGACTAAAACCAGGTCTAAACTGGATCTAAACCAGGACTAAAACCAAGACTAAAACCAGGTCTAAACTGGATCTAAACCAGGTGTCAGAGAATTTGATGATATAAATGTAAGTCTCATTAAAGTGTTACTCATTTATATATGTAATTCTTTCATTAAAGTATGAATCATTTAAATATTAATCATGGTGTAATCAACATTGCTTTGGGTCTGTTTTGGTTCAGGATGTACGTGACATGAAAACAGCAGCAGATATGAATGACAACTTAGGGTTTGTACCATCTTATGCTAAAACTGAAGGCCTTGGGGAACCACGTAATTGTCTGTCCTTGGGATGTGTAATCAAATGTGAAATGGGAGGATTGTTAGTTATAAGAGAACATGTGAAATGTATGTATCGTGATGTCGTCAAGTGTTGCTTATCTGTGACATGATTTTCAATAAAAGTGTGACTTGGAGAGTTGTTGAGCAGAGTGGAGCAGGGAGCTGACGGACAGTGTTCAAAACTCTCCTTGCGTAAGTGTTCATTTTAACCGTCTCTTTCTGGTGTGTCTTTATTTAATGTATTTTTGATGTCTTTTGGGTAGAATTCCCTCACACCAGGTCTAAATCAGGTCTAAACTAAGACTAAAACCAGGTCTAAACTAGATCTAAACCAGGTCTAAACCAGGTCTAAACCAGGACTAAACCAGGTCTAAATCAGGTCTAAACTAAGACTAAAACCAGGTCTAAACTAGATCTAAACCAGGTCTAAACCAGGTCTAAACCAGGTCTAAACCAGGACTAAACCAGGTCTAAATCAGGTCTAAACTAAGACTAAAACCAGGTCTAAACTAGATCTAAACCAGGTCTAAACCAGGTCTAAACCAACCAGGACTAAACCAGGACTAAACCAGGTCTAAATCAGGTCTAAACTAAGACTAAAACCAGGTCTAAACTAGATCTAAACCAGGTCTAAACCAGGTCTAAACCAGGTCTAAACAGGACTAAACCAGGACTAAACTAAACCAGGTCTAAATCAGGTCTAAACTAAGACTAAAACCAGGTCTAAACTAGATCTAAACCAGGTCTAAACCAGGTCTAAACCAGGAAACTAAACCAGGTCTAAATCAGGTCTAAACTAAGACTAAACCAGGTCTAAACTAGATCTAAACCAGGTCTAAACCAGGTCTAAACCAGGACTAAACCAGGTCTAAATCAGGTCTAAACTAAGACTAAAACCAGGTCTAAACTAGATCTAAACCAGGTCTAAACCAGGACTAAACCAGGTCTAAATCAGGTCTAAACTAAGACTAAACCAGGTCTAAACTAGGTCTAAACCAGGTCTAAACCAGGACTAAACCAGGTCTAAATCAGGTCTAAACTAAGACTAAAACCAGGTCTAAACTAGGT